AAGAGCGGAGCTAATAAATATATTAACGAGCAGTTGAGTGTCAGTTTTGATAGCTTAAAATATTGCTGTTCCAAATTGAATACTTCTGGCACTCAATCTTTGCATGAATTATGTTTATTTTGTGGAGCAAAAAAACTCTGAATTTGTTAATTGATATATATCCTCTTAAAATAGTTAATTTGGTAAGAATTGGAGATTCCACAGTTCCACATCAACTTCATCTCCAAAATATAAATTTTTTATAGTGCCTAGCCCTACATTTGAATGGTTCAAACGAGTAATCGGATATATCTCATAGACAAAAGCAACAACCAAAAGGGAACTTTGAATCTAATGTACTCTACCATGACATCTTATGTATTTTTCGACCGGCCACAAAACACGGAACCTTGGACACACATGGTCGTCGTTATTTCCAATAGGATCGAATTAACAACCCTAACCCTTGTCCCTTTTTGTTTCACCCTTTCCTTAAATATTCCTGTCATATAGGCTCAAAGCTAAGCATAGCCTTATCTCATCTTATCCTTAACCTAGAGAATAGTAATGGGTGATCACATAAATAAATCTATGCAAGAAAAGCCAATGTTACAAGATCTTGAAGAGTTGTACCAAGGAATCCCAGACGAATCCGTTAACCTCACATTTAAGGACCTGGCACAGGTGAACACATCAGAGAAGAAAAAACCCACAACAGCTTCACTGGGCAAACTACCTAGTCTTGATTTCACCAAAGGCTTGCAAGGTTCTGGTCAACACCATGAGCACCATCACGTACAAGACTTTGCCATTGCACGTTCTTCTCATGGTGACACACCATGGGGTCATTCTGGTCATTTTATTAGTCATGCAAGTGGTGGTGGTGGTGGTGCAGAAAGGCAACAAAGTCCTCAATGCATGGCCAGTGGAGATGGTCATGTGGGGTATGGCATGAGCTTTGATGGCATCAGTGTTGCTTCGGGAAGAGGTAGTCGACGACGCAGACCAGGGATTCCTCACTCTAAGATTTGTGCAATTTGCAATACCTATATTTATATATTCCGGACTAGATGCCTGGTACGTACTGAAGTTTTTTTTTTCTTCTTAATTAACCATAAATGTTGAGGGTTGAGGTAAGTTGAGTCGTGAGAACTACTAGAACTAAGAAACATCTCAAAACTTAAAAGTCTGATAGAATACAAATTTAAAAGAATTTTTTGAGAGTTTCTTTATTCAAAATAAACAAAGATTTTTCCCATGTAAAAAAGTTATTCTAAGCTTGTATATACAGAAATACTTATATATCCATCAACATTCATCAATGTTATAAGAGAAATTTGAACTCGCGTCTTTATTCTATATGAGTCTAATCCTTGTCAAGTGACCACCAACCATTACCAACACAAGTTACACAATACAAGGTTGAGAATATTTGAGTTTTGGAAACATTAGTTAATCCATACATAAAAAATCTATTTATCTATCTACATGAATGTGTGAGTTACTGAAAATGAAATGCATTATAGGAATATATGGGACCTGTAATGGCTAATATATAACATAATATATATATATAGAGAGAGAGAGAGAGAGCTTGATATAGTTGAATCATTCAATCCTTTTGCTTATATAATGATTCTGGTCTGGTGCATGCAGGTGTGCGGCAGGGTTTATTGCAGGCAATGTGTAGAAACGGGAATGGGGGAGATGGCAGAAGGAAGAAAGTGTGTTGAGTGCCTTGGATTGAGATTCAGCCAAAGGTAACGATTTTATTCACTGTTTTACTTTTAAAAAAAGGGAAATTATCTAGTGTTTGAACTGAGTAGCAGATGAGAATAAATAGTCAAGTTTCGTTTGATCCATTACTCGCTTTTAAGTTTTAGATTGTAACTTTTTTGGGCTAACTAATTAACTATATACATCTTTTCTGGCATAAAAATAGTGAAAGGAATTATGTATACAAAATGTTTACTGAAAATTATATCTGTACAGATTAAATGAAATTGGCCTGTTTTTTTTTTATATATCTTAATAGGCAAAGGAATAATATTATTAATTTTTTTGAGTACAAGGGTCAAGGGGTAGTCATAGATTCAACATAAATGTAAGAGCTAAATCAGATAACTGCCCAAATGAAAGCACCCTCCACCCAAAGATAGATCCATGAAGAGCCATACGAAGATATGAAGTGATTTTTTCCTTGCCAAAAGATGTTGTGTTTAATTCTCTCAGGCTGTCTCATTTGATTTCTTTATTATTAAATTAATAAATTATGAATATATTTTAATCTGTTTGACTTGTTCTCTCTTCTCCAACATTTGATTAGCTATAAGCCAATTATTATATACATATAATCTCTACGTTTTGAGACGGCATTTAGGCTTTTGTTTGCCGTCTCGTTAATTATTTCTATAACAGACAATAAATAAACAAATAATACATCTGCACTTTGTCTCTATCAAAATTACGCGCATAGTCCCCACAGACAATAAATAAACAAATTTGTTGTATATCCAGAGCAATATACAACAAATTCTTCCAATACATTTTACAATTCATTTTTTTTTTGTCTCCTTCCATCACATCACTCGTCTTATTTCATATTTCTATTTTCAATAATATCTCTTATATTACATTGCAAGAATCATTACAAAAAAGTAATATTACATGAGTGGTGCATTCTAAAAAATTCGTCAGCAGTTTATAGATTTATATATACATGCATATGTAACATATAGACTATAGTTAACTTGAAATTAATGATCTTAATAAGGATATTAATTTCTTCTGCTATAATGTGGCACAAACATGCAGGTATATAGAAAGAGCAGGGGAGGTAGGGTGCTGTAGTTGGAGGTATCCAAAGACATTGAAGCAGGTTGAGCTCAAGTGTGCAGAGAAAGGACCAAGGAGGAGCGGAAGGCATGGTCATACTCGCACAAGATCACCAAGTCCTCATCATCATGCTATTGCTACCAATGAACACTCTTTTGTCATGTCCTCTTCCTTTTCTCCTTTCTCGCCTCATTACAACCTCCCTTTATAAAACACTAATCATATATCCTATCAGTTCCTCCTTTTGGATATTTTTTCACAATTTCTTTTGTTTAATTTAATTCCTTCATTTACTTTTACTGAAAGCTTAATATGTCATTTTCTTCATGTCTTCTTTAGTATATATCTATAGACCTAATTAAAGAATAGCTCCCTATGTTTCTATCACACAGCTCGCGTAAGAACCACAAAAAAAAAAAAAAACAAAACAAAACAAAACAAAACAAAATATTTCTTAGAGTTTTTATTAAAAATATTTTTTATTTTTAATAAAAAAAAAATCTATTAAACTTGCATATGAATAGACTCTTTAATTTTTCAAAATGCTAAGAAAAGCCTGATTACATTATGTAGACATAAAATTGAAAGATAAATAATGTTCAATGTATATCAAAAGTTTATAGCTGCCTAAAAAAACTTAAATATATATAATATAGTACTATGTTAAGACATAAATACTTAATATTTTTTCGTTTTGAAGCCATTAATTGTTACTCCGACCAAACAATAAGGTGGCATTAAAATTAAACGGAGGGTATCAATATTTTGATAAGAGGATCTCCAATATAAAACTATTTAGTGTCAGATTCATCGTCCATCTTCACTTTAGATAGAGATACATTGAACATCATCATTTGCTTTTGACAAAACGGTAAGAGATCCAAAACCCTTATGTATAATAAGGACTTTTTATCTCTATTGTCGATCGGTACTATACTTGAGCACATGGAGATTAATTTGTATCGTCATAATGTTCTCGTTCTCTCATAATCTTATCTCTATAGCCCCAAAAAGATGTAGATTAATGTATGACTAGATGGGGATAAGAATATTAAAAAGAAATACGATAGTAACGACAACATGCTCATAGAATATGCTAAAATATTCGAGACACCTTAATTACATCTAGGTCTCATCTATATTGGGAGACATGTGGATGAATATGACATTGGTTAATTGTCCTCTAATTATCATTGGGTGGGGAAATTGCCCTAAGGCGTTAACATTGATCTAAATTCCTTTTTTCCGGATAAAAGTTCGGCTTATCCCAGAAAATACTTGTAACAACATCATCTCTACAAGAAAATTATCATATAGTGACACATCCTATAATAATACTATACATGTTACTAAAAATTACTTTTATCTATATAATAACTAAAATATATGTTGACATATTATTAAAAAGTGTGGGTATAAATTATAGTGATATACAAAATATGTTGTTAAATCTCATTCAAAATTAAAAATTGTGTGTAACTATATGTCAAATAAACGTATACTTACATATATTGTACCTAAAGTGACATTTTTTGTATGTCATTATATGTAATATTTCTTGTAGTACATGATAATTGTCTAACATTTTCTTATCACAAGTCTCACGTTATTTAGTTGAGCTTTGATTTCTTTATTTATCTTTTAACTTGTTTAATTTAAAAAAAATGAAGTATAAAAAGAGATGGGTTTGCTTGCATGAAATTGGGCCTTTGGATCACTTTCAAGTTTTAACAACTTTTTTCAGAAACTATGTTTCAAAATGATTTGTTGACTGTGTATTAAAATGGCCATTTTCTTATCTTACAATTTAGACTTTTTTATTTTTTTATTAAACAAATAAATATGTACTATATTAACTTGTTTTCTAACCCAACACATTTTATTATGCAAGTAAAAGATCCCCCTTTCCAAATCCGATTTATGTACATTAATTTTTTGTGCCTTTTTTTTAATGTTGAGAAACGGGATTAGACATCCAAATTTCTCATCGTGGTTTTAATTTAATTTATTTTATTTTTAACTTTTAAAATATGTTTAAAATAAGGTTAAATATATTTTTAATCTCTAAAAAATGAATGTGTTTTAATTTTGATTCCTATAAAAAAAAATATTTGTGATCCCTCTAAAATTTATAAACATTATTTTTTGTCTTGTAAAATAAATAAATTTTGATTTTGATCTCTATAAAATATTTTTTATTTTCATCCTTTTAGAATTTAAATTCATTATTTTTTTTCTCTAATGATCATTTAAGCTAGATAAAATAACATTTATTTTAATGATTTATAATTTTTTTAAGAAGTATGATACGTATATTAATATGATATAACAAACAAGTATGATATTACTTGAGATGGTCACTTAACTTTATAATAATAAATATATAAGTAGTTAAAAATGATTATACAAGTAGAAATTAAAAAAAAATTCAAATTTTAGAAGGATAAAAAATGAAGAAAAAATTATAAGAACCAAAAACAAAATAAATGTTAGAAATATATTTAAGTTTAAAATTAATTTAATTTATTTTTCTCAACTAATTATTTATAATATAAAAAAATCAGTTGAAAGCAGAAAGCAATAACTTGTGAGAACAACAAACTCAACCTCCAAGGAACACCAAAATCAAAATTTTAGATATAGAAAAACCACAAAAGGCAAGCTAAAAAAAAAAAATTTGGGCATAGATCATAGTCTCTATTAAATTGAAAGTTTTCATGATTTCACTCCGGCGATCAGAGCTTCATATTTGGCTTAATTATTACTAATATTAAATTTGAAGCATAAAGATTATTTTATAAGGACTATGCTTGAACCTTCTAGGGCGATCCATTGCCTTTAACGTTTGATGCATTGTCTACTATAAGGATCCACCTTTTTTTTTTCCTCTTCCAAGGGAGAGGTCAATTCAACAACCAAGTCCAACAACACTTTTGATAATAACACCCTTAGCTTTGCATGCATGTTATGTCATTGTTGCGTTATGTAGAATTTGAAAGTTCAATGGAACTCTTTGCCACCTTCTTATAAGGTTAGGCTTTTGTAAAACCTATTTCATTTTTTGTTGCAGCCTCCTTTACTGTCGTCATCGTCATTGGCTTTCTCTTCATGACCACCTCCTTCTAACTCCTCCTATGTTGTAGCCTCCCCCACCTCCCCTCACTAATGAAGCAAGATGAACATCTTATTTGCTTAATTGGTTGCAAGGGTTGAGTAATAACATTAATTTGTTCCAATTCATTGGCATAGTCAATAACTTAATTAACTAATGAATTACCTAAACATTTCAATTAAAGTATCTTATACATTATTTAACATGATTTAAATCAAGTAGCTTACTTAGGTTTTACACATCTCAATTAAGCTAATTGTTTTTAACATATTTCTGGACATTTAAATTTAATTTTTTATATTCAAACAAATTCATGAAATACACATGATTTCATCTTGGGTAGAAATTGGAACTTGAAATGCACTTTTATTTATATGAAAATTATCAAATTAAACTTGAGAAAATTAAAATAATGAAAAGAAAATTGAATATAAATTCTAAAGAAAAATATGTAAACTAAAATGTAACTAATTTTTTTAATTGATAAATAAAAGGCTAAATTATATTTTTCGTCCTTTTATTTTTGTCAATTCGTAATTTTGATCTCTCTATTTTAAAATAAAAATATTTAGTCTCACTATTTTAAAAAAATAATAATTTGGTCATTTTATATCAATTTGATGTTCATTTATCATTAAATTTTAAGTTGTTTAGTTACTTGGCAATATTTAAATAACATAATATTTAATGACATCGAATGTAAGGATTAAAATTTTAAAAATAATATATAAAAAATCTTTGTTTATATTTATTTTAATGAGGTGATTGATATTTATTTTATTAATAAATCTTATTTACATTATTTTAGTATCTTTTTATCTCTAAATGTTATATCACTTAAATATAAGTAAACCTTAAAACTTAATTATTAATATATGTAAATTTGATGGGATCAAAATTTTATATTTTAAAAATAAAGAGACTAAATATTTCTATTTTAAAATAAAGAAGCTAAAATTATAGATTGACAAAACTAAAAGAACTAAAAGTGTAATTTAACCAAAATAAAATTGTTACATTATAAGTTTCCATCACTGGTTAATAAGTAGTTTCTTAATAAATTCAACCGTTTATAAATTGGGCCTCTTTGCATACAAGTTATAAAAGTTTTTGAAAATTTTTATATTGAAAATAAATAATGTTTTTTCATAAAAATACTTTTATATAAAAATATTTCTAAACTTGTATTTAAACAGAATCATTATGTCTAATTTAATTGACACATGTATATCTTGATTGCACTTCTAGTTGTATTTATTTAACAAACATTATATTCATAACTAATTATTTCTTCTATAAGATACTGTATGTTTTAATGTAAAATTTATTTTTGAGATTAATTTTAGCACATATCTCAATTATAATTAACAATTGTTGAAGAAAAAACTATAATTAACAATTCAAAATTAATTCTATCTAACGTTAATTTTTTTATAAAAAAAAAAACCTGAATCTAAAGTACATATTAATTAAAAATTAAACCCAAACTATATCAGAGAAAACTAAAATCACACAAACTAAAAAACGAATGTTAAAATATAATTACGCCTTTAAAAATTATTTTTCACTTAAAAAATACACAAAACACTCATTTTATTAGAATCCGTTTAGTGTTGAGAGTTTGAAATAAAATATATAAGATATTATATATTATTATAATTTTGATGAGTAAAAAAAACACTCATTTTACAAATTGGAATATACTTTTACTTATTAAATTAAATCGTTCTTGACTTCACACTGCAATTTTAAAACTAGAAAATAAGTTAGAAAACTTTTCTTTGAACCATATATAATAAAAACTACTAAAAAGTTAGTTGGCATTTAGTAGACAATACACTTTATTAATGAAATTTTGGCAATAAACACAACCTCATCCCTCATGCCACCAATTATCTAACTCTTTCAATGTTCTAAATCAATGCCTTAACAAATTAAAAATGTTAGGTATTTCATAAAAATAAAAAAAAGATTAATGTATTCATCATTTTAAAATGAAAATGAAAATGAATACTAGTGAAGTGAAAATCTATTTATTTAAATACAAACATATTTTAAAAATATTCCATGTCTTTTTAATCATGTATTAAAAATTGAAATATTAATATTTATAAAAATAAAAATAAATTAATCAAAACATTCAATTCATATTTGCTTTAACTTCTTCACCTACACACTTAAATATAGCTATAAAAAGAGTCTTTTCGAAGGTCAAAACACCAATTCGCGCAGGGTATAGTGACATATCACTTGACCTTTTCAACCGAGTCACATGATTGTGCATGTGGTGCTACGTGATGTTTGAAAAAGGTGTACATAAATCATAAATCTATATATAAAAAAATACTATGATTCCAATTAAATACGACTTTTTCGCACACAATGAAATAAATAGCATTTGGGCCCTCAACAAGACATACTATATAATATACAAATTTCTATATTTTATTTTATTTCATATCGCTTTCATTTCAACCAGGCGGGGATCACAAGGAAATTTATAAAATTATAAAAGTAATTAAAACATTAAAATAAGTTCAATTGTAATGCACTCTTTATTAATCAATAACATGACCTTTAACTAGTTGTATTTTTAACTACTTTTTAAATATCTAACACACTTATTTAAGGTGGTTATTTTAAGAATTTTTCAATATTCTATTAACATAAAAATTATAATTTCAATTAATTAGAAATTATTTTTTATTTTTTATATTGCTTGTAAATACTATTTATTTTTATTTAAATGAATATACATATATATATATATATATATATTGTTAATATAAAATATTTTATATTATCAACTAATCAAAATCATGTTTAATAGAATTTTAACTATATTAAAAATAAAAATCGACAACATTCTACATTTCTTACTGTATGATTTTATTATTTTATTATTTTAATTTTTGTATGTAGCAGAATTGTTAAAAGTAGAGAAAGAAGGAAGATAACACATTCGTGATGCGTAATCGGACCAAAATAACGAATAGGAATTGAGAACAGATGCAAGATCCATCTTCAAACCCTAATTCCAATCCAAATCCCAATCCTCACAATGCCACTGCCGCATCCCAATTACCACGTCCGCCGCCGTCCACGGCGGCCACCGCCGCCGCCGCCGGCACCTCCTCCTCCTCATTATTCCCGCGCCCCGGCGGCTCTCACCACCGGCGAGCCCACTCCGAGGTAAGTTTCCGGCTGCCGGACGACATGATGGACCTGTCGCCGTCCGATCCGTTCGCCGGCGGGTCGTCGACGGCGAGCATGGAGGAGATCGGATCGGAGGACGACCTGTTCTCGACGTACATTGACGTGGGCAAGTTCGGCGGCGCCAACGGATCCGGCGGCGGCGGAAACGGCGCAGATCCGAACAGCGAACTTGAGAAGAGTCCGGCGAGGCCGCGGCACCGGCACAGTAGTTCAGTCGATGGTTCTTCGTCGTTCGGGGAAATTATGGAAGCGAAGAAAGCTATGCCTCCTGATAAGTTAGCTGAGCTATGGACAATTGATCCCAAGCGTGCCAAGAGGTTCTCAATTTCGATCGCGAAAATGCATCTTCTACTTTCATTTTGGTTTCGAGTGGTTAATTAGGTTTTGATGTGACGTGTAAATTCATAAACAATAGGGTTTTCTCCGTTTCAGCTTTCATTTTAGTTTCTTTTCGAGTTTTTAGTTTAGTTCGCCATTTTTAGATAAATTTCTCTTCTCATAAAATTGGAAAGAAAATTAAAATAAGTTTTTTTTATTAGCTAAAATTAACTTGAACATAAATTAAAAATAAGATTTGAGACGTTAATTGTAGAGAATTTTTACAAATTAATTTTAGTTTATTTAATTTATTTTCCTACTATTGATGTGTTTGAGGAGAAATTTACCCGATCACACCCCCTTAGTTTATGAAAGCCTTGTTGACTTATTTTATATGCTTGTTTCATTCAGTAATTGCTGTGGATTTGATTTTTGTATACTATTTTTCTGATGGTGGTGGTGGTGTGAATATTGAATAGAATACTTGCGAATCGGCAATCTGCTGCTCGTTCAAAAGAGAGAAAAGCACGATATATACAAGAACTTGAGCGCAAGGTTCAGACTCTTCAAACGGAAGCCACAACTCTTTCTGCCCAATTGACATTGTACCAGGTTTGTGTTGACGTATGGATGAAACTCAAGTACTCTTAGAAGTTCCATTTTACAGGGTAGGCCTGTTTAATTGATTGGATTTCCTGATGCTGCTTGGTGCAATCACTTCGACTGCATCATTACATTTACACGGGAAGTGTCCTAGAAATTGCTTCAACTTGGTTTTAGTATACTACCCGAGTTCTTTTTTGCTGCGTGTGGGTTATAGTTTTATATTCTGTCTTTGGTTATACAACAACAAAGCCTTATCCCACTAGGTGGGATTGGCTACATGGATTACACCACGTCGTCATATGGCTCAATTAAAGACTAAAGTTTCAGAGATATTTTCATTGTGAGATCCATCTGTCTTTTTGCTTATTACCTTCAAATATTTTGATATTTTCCTTGATCCATAGATATCTTTAATGAATTTAATTACAAAAATATTACATTTTGGATCATTCTGTTTGTATTCTCTTCTGGAATTCCTCCTTTTTTTTTTCTAGAATTTTACTTAATCACATTGGTAATTTGTGGTAAATATAATGGTGCTTTGCTTTTTGAGGCTTCACCCTGGTTGACTTTAGTTTCTATCCATACACAAACTTATTGTGGTTGAATAGGAATGTCGAATATGACTCAAAATATTTATTGATTCTTTACCAGAGGGACACAACGGGCCTGAGCACTGAAAATACAGAGCTTAAGCTCCGTCTGCAAGCTATGGAGCAACAAGCACAGCTTCGTGATGGTAACCATAGTCACTTTCTTATGATACATTGAGAATATGTGCTTTACTGCTTTATTTTTTTTTAATGAAACTTTTAAAGCATTTTATTATGCTTATCTAATTATACTAAAATTAGCTTCTGATATGTTGTAGCTCTTAATGAAGCATTGAAGAAGGAAGTTGAGAGACTTAAGGTTGCTACTGGTGAGATAATGAGCCACACTGAATCCTTTAATCTGGGAATGCACCAGATGCCATTTACAGGATCAAATTTTGTTCCAATCCCGCCACAATCAGGTCCTCCTGGTCACCAGAATATCCAGATGCCACCATTTGGTCATTCCCCATCCACAATGGCAACTCATCAAATGCATCAAACAAGTTCTCACCCACTTTCAGAAATATTGCAAAATGACCAGCTTGGTCGTTTCCAGGGTCTTGACATTAGTAGCAAAGGATCAACTCTCGTGAAGTCTGAAGGCCCCTCACTTTCTGCAAGTGAAAGTAGCACCACATTTTGAATTTGATAGAAAACGCTTGACCTGCTGACTTATCCATGCCATTCATTGTTCATAGTGTTGACATCTAGTCAACTAATGAAGGTACCTTATTTCATGATTCAGATTTGAGGAATGAGGACTACTTAACTATTTATTCTTAGGGGTGCTCACCACAAAGGGCAAGCACCCTTGGGGTTTTGTTGGAAAGTTCACGTAATCATGTTTCCGCATGGCATTTGGTATTTCTGGGCGGTTGAATTTGGGAATGAAGGGTCATTCTCATTGTATCTTTGTATGTTGGGATATACATGGATCCTCTCGTCTTTTGTATCATCGTTTAAAAGATAGCATGTAAACTGTGTGATTTATTGTCGTGTTTCACTTCATTGATAATCCAATATGGACTCTTTTTTTTTTCTTTTCTTTTTTTCTATAATTTATTTACTTAGTTTTAGTTTTATTCATAGTGGTTGTAAAATTCAAGAGATTTTGTTACGTATCGACATTGTACTATTAAGCTTCTTCTGAGATCAGACCTTTTTGAATAACTGGCATTTCTTAGTTTCTCTCCTCTGATTTTATCAACTCTAATGGAGGATGCACAAATTAATTGAAATCTTTATCCTTGTATTAATCTCCCTCACTCTCTCTACATTGTGTGATTCTGATCTGAGGTTCTCAACATGGAACGATGAATCTTATATTAGGTGATGTGGTGGCTTGTACATGTTGGTCAAGCATAACGATATATTCAAATCAAATTCAAAAGCCGAGTGTGAGAAGATAATATGGTAAGTAGAAAGTGGAACATTGATGTATTTGTATTTAGCCCTACTATCGTATAATAATATATAATTAATCCGAGTTAAACAAAAACGCAAGACAATTAAAAATGGAATTGTCAATTCTGCTATTTACGTGGTATGAAAAAGCATTGATAGGTTGGATTGTTCTGTTGAAGGATAAAATTCCGTGATATTAGGCCACGCTAAAACTTCTTGAACATGCAGCGTTAATCATGCCAGAGGCAGAGGTTCTTTTTTCACACGCATGTGGACTTTAGTAGAATTCAACAAAATGTCGCAATCTATTGTCTCATCCATTCAGCAAAACAAAAATTCCTAACGGAATGATTGGATATTTTCCTACACGTAACAGTTGAGTTCCGCAATCATATCTTATTCATCTTTATTTTCTGTCAGCCACTTGTACATATTTTTGTGAATCTGGGAACTGGGTATCCTCTAGTTGGAGAACTAAGGACTTGTACTGAGATTTATTTAAAATGTTAATATCCTTTAACAAATGTTCTTTTATATATACAGACCTAAAAAAATTGAACTTCTAACCACATGTTTAAATCACATGATATCTATCAGTAATATCACATTGGTAGTGGCATGAACATTTATATCTTGATCCTACATCCATCTTTGCATAATATTTTTAGGTGTGAGTGAAAGAGGGGGGTTGACAAGATTTAGGTAAATAACCTTTACTGTATGGGTTGGTCTGAAAAACTTTCAGCCCACCCACGTATACAAATTTCTTTAATCAAGGAATCTGCAATGTAAGCAATTAAGGCAATATTGAGTAGTTGGTACCTGTTATGAAACTTTGCTGTTGATGCATCCAAGATAAAATCATATGTTAACATTGTTATCGTTAGGCTTATAATTCATGATTCATGACATCATTTATTTCTGTACATGAAAAAAATTATCAATTGTGTACTTAAATAAGATTCTGTTTTTTAACCAAAACAAGATTTTTTTGCGTGTATAATAGACAGTGATATTAGAATCTAGGACTTTGTGCAAATTGTCCGACCCTTCAGAGGTCATGCTTGGCATCGGTAAAATTAGTTGATAAAGTATACCATATTATTCTATGTTATTCTAAGTGTATATGATTTTTTGCTTTTTTGATTACTTTAATCATAAATTTCTAAATTTTCATTGAAATATTTACAGTTTGCTGGTGCAATTGAAATTCCAAAAGAAATCTTAGAATTGGTTGACGAAACCTTCCTTCTTAAGGTTGAAATTAGGAATGGTTTCAATCCAAAGTTTGTGCAACGTATACTGTGAAGAAACTGGGTGCAGACGAAGCTATAATCCAGATATTTATAGTCAAATTTTCATTCGTGGAGGTGCAGTTGATGTGTGTTTCTTGATTGCAAAATATAATTTTTTTCATGTGGTTCTTCTTTTTCTATTTTCTTATATGATTGCAATACACTCTTTAACATACTTTAAAATACATTATTTATAATTAGTTAAAATTTATTGAAAAATATAAAATTTGGTGGATTTCACATTTTATTTAATGATACTTTCTCATTTTATAATTTTCAATAAATTTTAGCCAATAAAAATAAGAATATTATGATAAATATATTAGAGAGTGTATTATTCACACCCTTTCTCATATTAATGTAGGTAACCCGCGGTCCTTTGCCTAGGCTCATAAGAGGAATCTTAAAACAAATGCAATTTTGGGTTGCTAATTGGATAGTTGTCTAGTGTGCTTTTCATCTATTTTAATGCAGGATTGATGCCTAAATTTAGTGATGTGATTGGACGATCAATATAAAAATTGATGTTTCTAATGATTATGTTGCTTTGAATTCTCTTCAAGGTGATATTAGTAGAAAAAATGGTATCAATGACTCCAACCAAATATTATTAGTCTTCTTCGAGATTCCTTTATCTCAACTCCAAGGAATGAAATTTGTATTGAAAAGAAATCTCCCCTTCTTAAGGATTCACATGGATTTGAACCCTTCAGTATTATCTGATACTGTCTTATTCAAAACACCAAAACAACATGGATTTAACCAAACAGCAAAAAACCAACAACGAAACTTATAATAAAAACACACACACATGAAATGGGTAATTTGTTATGGAGATTGACACCACCACATTTGCAACAACTAATCCCACCATACCATTGATAAAGTCATTAATTAAACATTTCTTTTGATCTTTGTTTCATCAACAGCTTCCATGATCATCTCCAAGCCCTCCCCACCTTTCACAACCACAGGTTCATTTCCTTTGCACTCGGTTGCTCCATCATCAACCATTGTGGCTTGGTCCTCAGTGGGTTCATTCTTCTTTGAGTCCTCTATCTTTTGCTTAGTTTCCTTCAAATGCACATCAATCAATTCCAAAACTTCTTTCAGCTCACTGGGGGTAAATTTCTGTAGCTCTAGAAAATTACCTGTCTCAGTATATACTTGAAACACGCGAAGGAGAAGCTCCTTCTTCCTGTTCTCCTCCTTCTGCTCACCAAGCTTCTTTTTGGCCTCCTTGATCTTCTTCTCCAACTCCCTCTCTTCTTTGCTCTTCATCATTGCACCAACTTTATTAGTGCCTCTCCAAAACTCTCACTGGATTCCAGTTTATAGCACTTGCTTGTGTATTATATATATATATATATATATATAATTACTTTCAGTATTATATCAATGAATCAATCACTCTTCAAAGACTTCTCTATTTTGGTATAATACCAAAAAAGATAAAGATTTAATTAAAATTTGGAAATTTGATCTGTTGGTAAGAAACACATTGAATATGTGCTGGTTGGGAGGTGTTACAAATTTTATAATTAGATATATGGTAGATAAATTCTAATTTAACATTATTACCATAAGGATATTAGTTCAAGATTCATGATATAATTTACTTTTGTAAAAAAAAAAATTAATGCATTTTTACTTTTTTACAAGTGTGTGATTTTGATTATTAAAATTTCAATCGAACACAGTTTAATCATGAATTTAATAATTTTGTTGACGTGGAACAAATAACATCGAGATACTAATATGCGATAATGAACTTACATGCATTTGAGGGAGTGTATTTACATCCCCTAACTTTTAAGATAATACATGTATGTGATTTGAGTTATAAGTCTTTTGCTCTTTCTAAATTTATATTTTTACCCACTTTGATCCTAATTTTTTATTTGTTAATTTTTGTTTTGTATAGGCTAATTTATTTTTATATTTTGGTCTATTTTTAGTTTATTTTCATTCCTAATAAGTGTTTTTCATGTAATATTTCTGTATTGATATATATATATATATATTTATTTATTTATTTATTTTTTAAATAAATTGTATCCACTAATCCAAGGTCCTAAATCCACCACCAATGATATGACACTTGTGGTGATCAATTGAGATGGCGAAAAACTTTACTAGTAGGGTCGATTTTGGATCTTGTTTGCAGGTGCAACTATGTAAGACTCATGATTAAGAGGAGTTCAAATTTTTAAACTATACAATTGTATTATAATTTTTATATTATTTATATTATTTTAAAAAAGTAAATTAAAATTATCATTTTTTATTTTTTATTTAAATGTAAAGTGATAAAATTATAATGTTATGTTATCTTTATTGTTAATTTTTTATGTACTAAATTTATAAAATAATAAAATATGTTTTTGATCCCTCTAAAAAAAATTTAAGTTTGATTCTAGTCTCTCAATTTATTTTTTTCTTCTAATTTGGAGATGCATTACTTTTGGTGTTTAAAGTTATTTATATAATACTCTATAATAAATGATAGTATAAAAGTAAATTGATTTAAAATATAGTATATCTATTTTAGACTTATAATTTTTATTTCTTTAATGTAATAAAACATGTGATTTTTAAATAAAGATTTAATACATTGTTTAGTTTATGAACCTTTTGAAAATTTTTAATTAGATCTCTAAACTTCAAAAATTGTAATCGACTCATTTATCTTTTTGTTTTTTGTTTTTGTAGTTTAGTCCTTAAAACTAGATATTTATTTATATTTCGTAAAATATGACATTTTTTTTTATATCTTTATACCTATAGAGTTGCCTCAAATTATTATTTCATATCATACATATTTAGCAAATTTTAATCTACCTATAAGAATTTTCATTATCTCTTTAATCATAACAATTCTAGAATAACAAAAAAATTTAACCAATGATGTTTAAAACCTAATACACATGAATGGTGACATTAAATAGCAATCTAATATGGTTATGTGTGTACAAGGAAACATATGTCAAATTAAATATCATGAATTATAAACGAATCTCTAATCGTAAAGACTAAATTATAAATAAATGAAAAAACAAATTATAAATTTTTGTGTTTAAGACCTAATTAATTAAAAATTCTCAAAAAACTTCATAAATCAAATGATATATTAAGCTTTAATTAAATCATTTATATATCTATTTTATATTATATATGTTTATATTTTAAAATATTTGTATGTAAAATTTTATACTTATTATTTCGCCTCGAATCCATGAAATGTCAAGATCAATTTTGTTCATAGATAAAATTTGTTAAGGATAATAAATGAGTAGCTTAAATTAACAAATATTGACAAATAATATAAATACAATTTTTTTCTACCGTTTATGGTAGGACAGACATATATATATATATATATGATAGTATTCATTCTTATGGGTGTTTATTATATAATATTTGAATTCTGATTCATTGTCCGAATTAATGACTTTTGAGATTTTATATTTA